ATGAGTTGGGGCCAACTCGACGGCACATTAACTATAACAGCATTCAATATATTATTATTCAATATATTATTATACAATATATTATTATTCAATATATTATTCAATATTATTCAATAATAACAGCATTCAACCCACTGCAAGATTAGCAACGTGGCAATAAAGTCCACTTTCACTACTCTCACTCCGTGAACTTCTGTCACTGCACCAATTAAAAAAAATAGACATTGGCAGCGTGCGTCAGAAACATGATCAAACATTATTCTGTCAACAGGAAACACTTCAAACACAGCATGAGTTGACTGAAAGCACACAGGTGGGGAGAGACAGTACCACTCAAACACTCAACAAAGAACAAAAGTGAGTACCTGGTCAGGTGACTTCAGAGCGAGAAAACTGCACACGTCGTGACGAGAAGCTTCAATTTCATCTCAAATCCCAGCAAAAACACGACCAAAAAAGAAAGAAAGGAAAACTACCCAATGCCATCGAGTCAACCCCTGCTGGGTCCAAAGCTGTCAATCTTCACGGAAGCAGACAGCGTCATCTTCCTCCTGCGGAGTGGCTGGTAGGTTTGAACTGCCAACCTTCTAGTTAGCAGCCAAATGCTGTACCCACTACACCGCCAGAGCTCCTGGCAAAAACATGACAAGAAAGGGAAATTATGGGCCAGTCCTGCTTCTGAATAGGGATATAAGCGTACTAACAAAATATTAGCCAGTAAAACGCTAGATATGTGAAATATAACAAATGCAGTATGTTGTACTGGATGGGATGCTGGAGCGAGAAAAGAACAAGCTGAGAACGAACAATCGACACATAACATTAAGGACAGAATGAATGAAATCCTAACCCAGCCTGGAGGGCGTTAGTAATGACCCCTCAAGCCTGGTCCGTCAGTCTGCCAAACAGGCCACAGTCCTGTATGATGTCAACAAGGGGAGACTGAGAGTTGAATACCTGGGAACTCTCGGTACTATCTTTGCAGCTTTTCTAAAAATCTGAAGCTGTGAGGAGTTTATTTAAATATGCAAACATCATGACCACTAGTTTGTGGAGTTAAACACAGAATTAAAGAGTAGTTTACAACTTGACACCTACCGTTTCAATTCACTATATTAACAGAGAAAAGAAGACACTGTGTGAATATGATCATAGATGGTAAAAATTTTTAATAAAATGCAATAGCCTTTCTCGAATTTAAAAAAAAAAAAAAAAAAAAAATCCCCAAAGGGAAATGAGAGCAGAAAGAAAATTTCATCTCAGAAAAATGATGATAATTAGCAGAGGACTGAAATACTTCCCCTGAGGTGAGACACTTGTCACCATCCTTGCTACTCCCCATGGACTGGAGATCCTAGTACATTCACTCTGGCCAGGGGAAGAAACAAAATACACAAGGATTGAAAGGCAGAAGTCAAACCACTAGTCCTTACCAGAGACAACAAACTCCAAACTAAGCCATGATGCAAGAGCACAACTCAAAAATAAAAAAAAAAAAAAAAAAAAAAAAAAACCAAACCAACCAAAAACCACTGCATTTGTACAAACCAGCAATGGACAAACGGAGAATGAAAATATCTCAAGTGGTTTATTCACTCACATGAAAAGCTCTCACACAGCCATCTAAGATGCAGCTACTCCTCTAGTCTGCAGCAAAGACGAGTGAAAGAAATCAAAGGCATCTCGAAACAATGAGTCCA